AAGGCTCTAGAAAGGCACAGAAAGAACTTGAAGATAAGATCCTGTGGGGTGAGAGCTGGAGATGGTTTCCATGGGAGCAGGACCTGGTCACAACACCAGGAGGCTCAGAGCAGAATGGAGGATTAAGTACAGCGAGAGGGAGAAGATGCAGGAAGCCACCCACGAGCTGGCGCTCTTTTCCCAGGACAGGTCACAATCTCTGCAACCCTGGTAGTAGGAGCACTGAACACTGTGGTGTCCTCTCTGAGGAATCACCCCAGGGCCCACCTGTAGGCCCAGGAGCCTCCCTGAGGGAGAGAGAGGCAGCTATAACCATAGATGAGGAATGCCGCATTTGGAGAAGTACTGTCCCACGGGGCGAGGCTTCTCATCCCTAAAGGCAGTGTGGCACAGAGTGGAAAGCTGAAGTGTAAGGCACACTTGGGATTCTCATCCCAGCCCTTCCACGCTTTATCTATGAAGCCTGAGCAGTCCACTCCATTGATCTGAGCCTCAGTTTCCTCATCAGTGAAATGGGTACACCAAAACCCAACTTACAGGGCTGTTGGGAAGATTAACTGAAATGACATGTGGATACCCTGCACAGCCCCTTCCGAGCCCATAGCCATGACTTCAGGCTTGTCCTCTACAGTGTCCTCTCAAAGGCTTTCTCCTGACCTTCAGATTCCATACTACTAAGGAGTGTTTAGTAGGAATGAATCTAAATATGACATTCAGTATTACACACTAGGCATGATCTGTAGTTTACATTTTCAAGAAGCAAAACTAGGACATGAGAGCAATCTGGCTGTGACATCTGTCACCCCATGACTACCAGGGTTGATTCAGCTCATCTGGCTGACTAGGCGGGTGGCCCCTTCCTCCCTCACCACTCCATGTGTGTCCCTCCCGAAGCTGCAAGCTCCATCGAAGAGGATGACCATCACCACTAGAGGAGGACCGTTCTTCGGTCAAGGGTATACAAGTTGCTATGCTCCCCTATCAGAACCTCCTAACAAGCTCTCAAGAAGCAAAACTGGCTGGGCGTGGTGGCTTATGCCAGTCGTCCCAGCACTTTGGGGGACTGAGGTGGGAGGATCACTTGAGCCTAAGATTTTGAGATCAGCTGGAAACATAGCAAGACCTTGTCTCTACAAAAATAGAAAGAAAAAATATTAGCCAGGCATGGTGGTGCAAGCCTATAGTTCCAGCAACTCAGGAGGCTGAGGCAAGAGGATCACCTGAGGCCAGAAGTCTGAGGCTGCGACAAGCTGTGGTTGTGCTGCTGCATTCTAGCCTGGGTGACAGACTGAGACCATGATGAAAGAAAGAAAGGGAGGGAGGGGAAGAGGGAGAGGGGAAGGGAGGAAGGGAGGGAGGGAGAAAAACAAAACCATGATTTAACAATGGGTTCAAACAGACTTCTCTCTGATAACCGTCTTCTCTTCAAATTCTATCTGATTGTAACCTAATCAAGGGCTGACAACTGTGAGGGCTTTTCCTTCACATCCTCTATAGCAGCCTGTGGATGAGTCCCAAAATTATCATCTTCATTTTACAGATGAGGAGGCTGAGGCTGAGGCTGAGGCTGAGGCTGAGGCAGCTTAAGAAATTCACACCCAGTTCTTGGCTAAAGTAGGCTTATAAAATCTGGAGCAGAGATTGGAACCCACCTAAAGAGGTGGTTTTAGTCTGTGCTGGTTACTGTCATACCACCCTAAGCACTTAGAGGAACTTTGATTTCTTGAGTAGAATTTACTTTTAACGCATCTGTTCTAAAGTGAGGGGAAAACTCGTGTTTAGTCTTGTAAAGATAGTAAAATCTAAATATCATCACAGAAAACTGCTCATATAATTCACCACTCAGAGAAGACAGAGCCCTCAGGGAGGAGGACGGAGTCACACTGTGGGTTAGCACTGAGTTGGGTCTAGAGACCAAGTCTGGGGACTCCCAGACCAGTTCGTTCCTCACTCATGCTGACGTGGAAAGTTCTGGAACAACACTGCCTGTGTTCTACATCCAGGATGTACTTCATCAGGTACGACGGGGAGCCCCCCCAAAAAAAGGAATTATTTTTTTGGAGGGCGGGCCCCTTGTAGTACACTCAGAATTTGTTTTTCCAGATCAAACAATCACCCAAAGTTTTTATCTGGAAGTTTTGAGGCTGCTTCACGGTTGGTGTAAGAAATGTCCTGAATTGTAGCAAACAGGTGACTGGTCCTTCCACCATGACAACACACGTGAAAACAGTGCCCTGAGTATTCAGCAGTTTTTGATCAAAAGTGGCATGACCCCAGTGCCCCACCCGCCCTATTCCCTTGACCTTGCCCCGAGCAACTTTTTTGTTGTTGTTTCCAAGCCATCTTTTTTTGTTTCCCCTTTTTTTGTTGAAAAAAGTCCTCCAAGGGAAATGTTTTGCTGATGTGGAAGAGGTGAAACAAAAATTGGCAAAAGCACTAGAAGGTAATTGATAAGTTCAAAAACTGTTTTAAGCAGTGGAAAAAGCATCTTAATAGGTGTATTATATCAATTGGAGAGTACTTTGAAGGTGACAAGTTAAAACATGTAAGAATAGATACACAAATTTTTATAAATAAATTCCAGGTTTGTTGGGGTCACCTCATATTTGCTTTGGGAAATTACTTTCTGGTTCTGTATCTGAGTCTCTTTAAAACTCAGAGCAAAATAATCACTCCCTTGTTGAGTCCCATTACCTACTGAGAATAAATGGAAATTGTGTATATGTGTGCATGCATATGCGTGTGTGTGTGTGTGTGTGTGTGTGTGTACATATAGCTTAGGACAGCATCTAGCATTTAGGAAGCACTTGAAAATGGTGCCTATTGTTCTCTTGCAGTTAGTTTTGTGCAGGGCACTTTACATAGGAGGTCACGCCTAACTTTGCTCCAGCCACTGTGAGGTAGGTGTGATTCTCCTCACATCAAAGAGAAACTGGTAAAAGGCTTTGTCATGGATGTCAGAGGGAGTCTTTGCTGTGCCCCTGTATGGATGTATCCCTGAAAGGATTTGTGGCCAAACTGGGAACCCCTGCCTGGGAGAAACCTTTGCACATGGGGTTTACCTTTCATCCTTCAGGTGGTGGGACAGCTTTCTGGTCCATCCATACTGGATGCTCAGTGGTGATCAGGCCTGTCTTCTCTCTCAAGGAAAGAATAAAGCCCTCGGAGGCGGGTGAGGGAAGTAAGAGTAGACAAAGACCACGGTGGTCTCTAGATGACCCACAGGTATGTGAAAATTTGTGAGGAGAGGAGGCCTCCCCACAATCCCTTTTCTCTGCATACCTTTCAGGGACACACAGACCTGCAAGTCTGCAGCTGTAGATCTCACAAAACCTCAATCACCCAGTCCTTTTCCTCCTCCCCAGCTTCCATTGATATCTGGGTTCAAATTCCAGGAACTCCCTTTCCTCCTTCTGCAAGTTTGGACAACCCTCCCATTTTTCATCTGTAACCATAAATACACAATCCCTGACTCCCCAAAGTAACACACATCTAAAATAGTGGTGCTCAACTTTGGCTGCACCAAAGTCACCTGGGGAGGTTTTGCTCACTTTAGTGCCTGGGTTTCATGTCCAGAGACCTCCCAGTAGAACAGTTCTGGGGCATGTTATAGAATTCAAGAGTTTTTAAAGCCCCACATGATTTTAATATGCAGTCAAAAACCAAGACCCTCCAATGCACATGTAGTAGACAATCTGTTAATACTGTCCCTTCTCATGTCTTTCCTGCTAACTGCCTGCTCAGAATTTATTTTAAAGGCTTTAACAGTTTTTCAGGCTAGCTCGGGAATGCTCTATTTCTGCCACCCCACCCTAGTATGTTCTCATGTCGACAACCTCTGCACTTTCAAAACAAATGACTCAACCCCCAGCCAATCAGCAGTCCCTTCCTCTAGATTTGGTTCTCCTTCTGTCGATTGGATGGAGTCAATTGGTTAAGACACACAATGCCCTCCTGCAGATGCCAATGAGAAAACCAAACAGATGGAACAGCCATTGTTTGCTCTCCAGTCAGGGAACTCCACCACGGGCCTCCAAACCCCTCCTCCGTGTGCAAAAGCTCACACAATAAAATCCCAATGGTCCCAGTTGGATCTTAAATGATACTGTTTCTCCACCTGGGTCCATGTGTCCAACCCCCCCCCCTTTGTATGATTCCCACCTCCACCCTCATGGACTGCGCCCATGTCAGGAGATGTGCCATCAGCCAGTCACTCATCACCAGCCACGCCTCCTCCAAGACTCTCTCCTGCAGTCACGCTGCTTCCCCAAACCTCCCCATGCCTTGCACATGCCTTAAAAATGCCTTCCCCTCCCATAGTCCACCTGGCAGGCTTTTACTCACCGTTAAAAGCCCAATTTAAATGTCCTCCTCTGCAGTCTGCCTCACCTGTTCCCCCAGTCCCATCCCCAAGTCCCCCCCCCATCTCCCCACCCCAACAGGATTTAGGTGTTTCCAACAGTGCACTCTCATCTCCTTTGCAATGCTCAGGTATAGCATTTCCCAGGAGGCATGCTATTGATTTATCATTCTGGAAAAGGGTTTTATAATGTTGTCTTTTTATAACCAACTCCTTGGATAGGGACAGGGCCTTAGCAGGTGCAAATTGAATGCTTGCTGGAGTGACTCCAATCCTCTGTCCTCATATCTATGCCAGTCAATTTTTGAAACACCCCCCCCCAAAATAATCAAGATAGATTTTCTCTGTCACCCTCTAGAAGCATATTAGCATTCATCTACTATATAAAACTTTAACAAGGAAAGATGAATTTGCTTGCCCACATAGGTAGATATGAACAGAGAAATGAAAAAACACTTACCATAAATCTGAAATGACACCAGAGGGGTCCTGTCTCTGGAAGGAATAACTACGTTTTATGAGAAAGGGAGCATATTTGGCAGATGAGGGAATGAAAGGTGGGGATGGAATTTTTGCTGCTTTATTTCCTGAGATGGGGGGATCTGGGGGGTGCTGAAGAAAGTAAGAGCACCTGCTTTACCTTTTCTGGAGCGGGCAACTGTAAGTGGTTGACCTCCAAGGGCGTGATGAGGGGGACTGTCTGGAAGCCATCCTCCACCGAAGGCGGCTTGGCTCCCTTCTCGCTGGGATTACTGTTCAGCTTCACCATCCTCACGCCTTTCTTTCCAGACCTACAACAGGCAATGGGGGTCTGGTTACAGCAGGGGGTGAGGCAGGGAGAGAGGGCTGACGACAGAGAAAATCGCACTGTCCCTAGCAGCTCCACTCGGGTGGCTCTCAGTCTAGTGATCAGTCATTGATCATCTGCTAGATTTCCTGACATGATCCCTCATTGTCCACTAAAACTTCTTTAATCAGCAAAATATGTCACCTGCCCATGGGATTCAACAGCTCTAGAATTTAGGGAACTCAAGGAAAATCCCAGACCTACACACACACAAATATTCAACCTTAAATCAAATGCCCAAGACACTAGAGCCAAATCTTCCATAGAATCTCAGTGAAAAGCGTATTCTTAGTGCAAAATGAAATCCTGTTCTTCTGGGTCCCCCTGCAGTATGATAAATTCCATCTCTCCGCTCTGGTTGCTATTTTATTAAATTGGTTTTCATCAGCAATCCCCTTAAAACACAATAAATTACATTCAGTGTCTCTATGTGTAATGTGTGCCCTGTTACATCATAGGTAGATTGTACAGGAGGTGCATTTCCTAAAACAACAACCAAAAAAAAAAAGCTGGCTTGAACCCGATCCTGCTATTCAGCCATGGATTGCCTCCATTTCCTCAATAGCGAAGGGCCATTTCTTTTCTTTCTTTCTTTCTTTCTTTTTTTTTTTTTTTTTTGTTCCATGGAAAGTTAGCAGCCCCCATATTGCTAGATTGCCAACTAAATAAACAAATCACATTTATTCATCTCCAGATCCCTTGGAAGTCAAGCGGTGCTCCCCTCCTACCCCCCAAATCTCAGCACAACTGAATTTCTGGTATCAATTCTGCTGATGGAACATTGTTAGACAAAACGAGGTTGTTGTGGGGATGATGGGGTGATGAGAGGATGGGAGGTATTGGGGAGTGGTCGGAGCAAAAAAAATGCCTACTTACGGTGCTGCGCTCTTGAGGGTTGGAGCAGATTCAAGCCAATTTGAAGCGGAGGAGGACAGCCTGGAGTCCTCCCTCCTCAGCCGGTGCTCGTGGTGCTGAAAGGACAGCGCCTCGCGTGTGTCAGGATCGGAGCTTCCGAGCGAGGCGGGAGCGCGCGGGGAAGAGCTCCTGGCAGCTGCCTGCCTGCCTGCTCGCTCGCGCCCCCTCCCACCGGGGACGGGCTCCCACACCATCTGTCATCTGGCACCACCTGCTGTTTCTTATGCATGGCCACAACCGCTGGATGGGACAAAACGGCTTCAAGAAAGCGGGAGGGATTCTGGCCACGTTCAAAAAAAAAAAGAAAAAAAAAAACAATTAATATGCACCATGTAACAAGTATTCCTTGAGCCTTTGGGGAAACTGGAAAAGCAGGCGCATCCGTGAGGGGGAGAGATCGCCTCCTGAGGCTTTCCAGAACAATACAGTGAAACACAGAATGGTTCAAGACCTCCCTGTGCTCTGACCCGTGGTCAGGAGAAAAGGCAAACTGATATCGATTGTGTATCTCTCAGGCAGCAGGCACTTCCCCAGCCTCCTTCCGACTGTTTCCCGCGTTTGCAAAATGTGGCGTCTAATGGTGACTATGTGATGGAATCAGTGTGAGGCATAAGTGGGACAGCACAGGGGAAACAATGGGTACAGAACAGGCCACGTGGCAAGCCTTGCATGAACATGAGCTTCTGCTGTCACCATCGTGCTGGGATCATCCATGCCCGCTAAGGGAACAGGGTCAGAAGAGGACCTGACCTGGGATTTGAAACCTGATCCATTGCCACCAAAGTTTGGGGGTTTTTTGTCTGTCTTTATTTCAGTAGCTTTAGGGGGTACAAATAGTTTTTGGTTCCATGGATGCACTGCATAGTGGTAAGGAAGTCTGGGCTTTAAGTGTATCTACTACCTGTGCACATTGTACCCAACGGGTGATTTTCCATCCCTCCACTTCTCCCCCCTCCCCTCCTGAGTCTCCAGTGTCCATGACACCATTCTCTACACCTTTGCAGAACCTTAGTTTAGCTCCCACTTTTAAATGAGAACATGTGGTGTTGGGTTTTCGGTTTCCGAGTTAGTTCACGGAGGATGACGCTCTCCAGTTCCATACAAGTCATCATTTCACTCGTTTTGACAGTTGAATAGTATTCCATAGTGCATATGTGCCACATTTTCATTATCCACTGATTGGTTGATGGGCATTTAGGTTGATTTCACATCATTTCAATTGTGAATGAACATGTGAGTGCCGGTGTCTTTTTTTATATAATGAGCCTCTGTTTCTTTAGGTAGATACCTAGTAGTGGGATTGCTGGATCAAATGGTAGATCTACTTTTAGTTCTCTGAGAAATCTCCACACCGATTTTCATGAAGATTGTACTAATTTACACTCCCACCAACAGTGTGTAATCATTTTCACCCACATCCATGACAGCATCTAATGGTTTTCTGAAATTTTTAAATAACGGTCATTCTGACTGGTGTTAGGTGGTATCTCATTGTGGTTTTAATTTGCATTTTATTGATAATTAGTGATGTTGAGCTGTTTTTTCATGTTTGCTAACCATTTTATATCTTTTTTAAGAGATGTCTGTTCGTGTCATATGCTTATATTTTTAATGAAGTTGTTTTCTTTTTTTCTTGATGGTTGAGTTCTTTGTAAATTCTGGGTATTTGTCCTTTGTCAGATGGATAGTTTGCAAATATCCTCTCCCATTCTGTAGATCGCCTCTTTGTTCTGTTGATTATTTATTTTGCTACATTGCCACCAACGTGTTTATCCAACCCAGGGCATCATATGGTTTCCAAGTTGGTGTCTGGAATCAAACAGGACAAAGTCCTAGTGTCAGCTCTACCAAACTCGGGTTGTATGACTGTTGACATTTTGCATTCCCTCTCTAAACCTTACTGATGTTGTGAGAATAATAACAACTCCCTTACAGAGTGACTATGAGAATCAGAAGAGATTGTACTCAAGGAAACCCCTTGTAACTTGGGGGCCAAGGTTCAGAATGGTTGAATTATTTCATCCCTAGGAATTTCTTCTACAGTCTCTTCCAATCCTCTGAAGTCAAGCTGGTTTCTCCTAACTGTGGTTCAAACCACTGTTGGTTGTTCATCCCCAGCTACAGTGCTGCTTATGGGGCACTTTATGAGGCCAGCTGCTTAGCATTTGTAATAGCATCCTTTTTTGCTTTCAAAAGCATTCTGGTTTGAGTGATCAATTGTTTGGTCACCCTAATTAATACTCAAGTGCTAAGTGTATACTCTACTAAACTAAAAGGCCAAGAGGAAAAAATGTATATATTAGCTGTATTTTTCAGTAATGAAATTGATATGCATATACATGTGAGACGGGGGGAGAAAGAGAGAGAGAGGGAGAGAGAAATGTTTCTGATACAATAAAGGCTATAACACACCAGACCTCTACAGGGCAATATTAATAGGAACATGCATATAGATGAGAAGGAGGTGCTTCAGTTAGCATTAGTCTCCCATCCTCTCCTTTCCAAAGGCCTAGATGATTTTCAGGCACAGTCACTGTCTAGGGACAACACGATGTAGACAACCACATGGAACCAATTGTGAACACTTGTGTCCAGTCCTATTGTTGCTACCTTCAAAAGAAAAAGAGGTTCCCTTTGACATGTCTTGTGATTGATTCACATGCAGAAATCACACTTCTAACAATTCCAAGCCAAGCTCCTACACAGCAAAGGAAACAATTAACAGTGAAGAGACAACCTACAGAAAGGAAGAAAATATTTGCAAACTATGCATCTGACAAGGAGTTAGTATCCAGAATATTAAGGGACTTAAACAACTCGATAACAAAATAATAATAATATTTTTAAATCGGTAAAAGACTTGAATAGACATTTCTCTAAAGAAAACATACAGATGGTTAACACATATCAAAAAAGTGCTCAGCATCACTAATCATCATGGAAATACAACTCAAAACCTACAATGAGATAGCACTTCACCACAGTTAGAATGGCTATTATCCAAAAGTCAAAATACAATAATTGCTCAAGGTCTGCTTATGAGTGAGAACATGTGATACTCGGCTCTTTGTTTCTGTGATACATCACTCAGTATTATAGACTCTAAGTCCATCCAGGTTGCTGTGAAGTTTATGATGTTGTCCTTCTTTATGGCTAATTATCATCATAATATTCGATCATGTAAATGTACATCTTTTTTTACCCCAGTCCTCTTTTGATGGGCAGCACGGTTGGTTCCATGTTCTTGCTACTGTGAACAGTGGTATGATAAATATACATGTGCAGGTATCTTTTTCAGAGTGATTTGAGTTCTTCTGGGTATATTCTCAGGGAGATTGCAGGGTCATATAGAAGGTTGATTTTTAGGTCTTTTAGGAATTGCCACACTGTTTTCCACAGAGGCTGTACTGTACTAGTTTACACTCCCACCAACAGTGTGGAAGTGTTCCCTTTTTACCACACCCTTTCCAGCATCTGTTGTTTTTGAGTTATTGATAATGGCCATCCTGACTGGAGTTAGGTGGTATCTCAGTGTGGTTTTAATTTGCTTTTCTTTGATGACTAGTGAGGTTAAGCATTTTTTCATGTATCTGTTGGCTGTTCATATGTCTTCTTTTGAGAAGTGTGTATTCGTATCTTTTTCCCACTTTGTGCTGTTTGTTTTTTTATTTTCAGCATGTTTGAGTTCCTTGTAGATCCTAGATGTTAGGCCTTTGTCAGACATACAGTTGGCAAATATTTTGTATTGTAATACTATAAGAAAAGGATTGGCAGTAGTGGGAAACTGCTAGGGCTGGGGTGGAGGGTGCTGGGAGGCAGGACTGGCAGTAGTAGGAGTCTGGTGGAGGAAGGAGGACACACCTCATCATTAAGGGTACCTGCATAATGAACATTTGTATACCTAACCCTGAATTGTACCTCACAACTTTAAAATTAAAAAAAAATTAAAAGAGAAAAAAAAAACATGTTACCACTGAGGAAAACTGAGTGAAGGGTAATTAGGACCTTTCTGTATTATTTTGATAACTTCCTGCTAATCTTTTATCTTATTTCAAAATAAAAAGCTAAAAAAACCACTAAATTTTATTAAAATGTTCAAAATCATGTATTTATATTTTTTAAAAAGCCAAAAAACAACAAATGCTGGCATGAATGTGGAGAAAGGGTAACTCTTATATCCTGCTAGTGGAAATATAAATTAGTACAGCCATTATGCAAAACAGTAGAGAGTTTCCTTAAAATATTAAAAACAGAACTACCATATGATCCACTCTCACTAGTGGGTCTACAGCCAAAGAAAATAAAATCAGTATGTTGAAGAGACATCTGCCCTCCCAGGTTCATGGAAGCACCATTCACAATAGTCATGATATAGAATCAACCTAAATGGCCATCAATGAACGAATAAAGAAAATGTGGTATATGTATACAATGGAAAACTACTCGGCCATAAAAAATGAAATGTTGATATTTGTGGTAACGTGGATGAATCTGGAGGACAAATGTTAAATGAAACCAGCCAGGCACAGAAGAACAACTACTGCATGATCTCACCCACAGGGGAATCTAAACAAGTTGATCTCATAAAAATAGAGAGTAGACTAGTGGTTAGCAGAAGCTGGAGACAGTAGAGAGAAGGGGAGGGGGTTGATTGGTTAAGGGTACAAAGTTACAGTCAGATAGGAGGAATATGTCCTGGTGTTCTATTGCACAGCAAGGTAACTGCGGCTAACAATACTGTTTGTACTTTTAAATAGCATAAGAAAACTGGGCATAGTGGCACATGACTGTAATCCCAACACTTTTGGAGGCCAAGGCGGGAGATTGTTTGAGTCTAGAAGTTCGTGAGCAGCCTGGGTAACATACCAAGACCTCATCTCTACAAAAAGTCAGAACACTAGCCAGGTATGGTGGTGCATACCTGTAGGCCCAGCTACTCCGGAGGCTAAGGCAGAAGGATCACCTAAGCCCAGAAGGTCAAGGTTGCAGTGAGCTGTGATTGTGCCACTGCACTCCAGCCTGTATAACAGAGTGAGACCCCAACTCATAAAAAAATAGTTAAAAGATAATTTTCAATATTTTCACACAAAGAAAGGTAAATGACGGAAGAGATGGATATACTAAATACCCTGGCCTGATCATGATACATATATACACCTGTCAGAGCATCACATTATACTGTATCAATGTAC